CACTGCGAGTCAGCTGACTGCTGTGTCACAGAGCTGCTGCTTTCTACATTATCGCAACTGCCAGAGCTCTTACTGCTGCAGTTTTCTAGTCGCAGTGCGGCAAAGCAGACGCATAGAACCAGGCACAAAGCAGCATAGATTTTTTTATTCTTGTCTTTTTCATATGAGGGAAATTTTCCTGGTGTTAGCATAGGAACAGACACACAGCCTGGATGTGTTGGCTTCAGCCTGGCAGCGTTTTCAGCTGAGCAGGGACTGCTCGGAGCTCTGTATCCAAATTGCCTCTGAGGAAGAACGTCTGGTTTCCCACTTTGTGTACTAAGAGGGCTTTTTTTATGCCACGGTGATATACCTGCAGCAATAGGACAAAGGAGATGGTACTTGTCACTGTTTGTCCGACTGAGGCCTTTGCAGGCACTCCACTGCCGAAGCTGTGCCAGCGTCCCAGGGTCATATAGATTGGTAACACAGATTGCCGCAATTTCTTACATCAGTTAGAGCAAAGCTCAAACAAGAAACCAGACTCTCTGACCTAAATCAATCCCAGTCCTTCTGGATACAGGGCAGCAGTCGACTAGCAATGACACAACCAGCCATCAAGTGGAGAGTCTCTGGGATTGCAATCTGTATCAGTTGGAGTCTGAGAGAATGAAACCCTTTCGGTTATCCAGTCGCTTCTTCTTCTAATACTACAATTACTACAACTACAACTACTACTACTTCTGTTTTTCTTGCCTGTAAGAAGCTATTAATTTTGCTTGGTCTCTGAGTGTATATTTGCGTGGATTAGTCTGTCTATAATTCAGTCCTTATCTGCTCCTGCTGGAAATCAGGGCACAAAGTCAGCCTGCTTTAACAGTTGTTTCTTTCTGCGTGATGCTATGCAACTAGAATGGGTTACACTGACAACAAAGGAACAAGCACAAAGCACCACTTTCTTTGCTGGACTGTACAGGAGCATAACTCTTCTTCAATATGATGCCCTGATCTCTTCTCTTTGCTGTTCTTTTTTTTTTTTTTTTTTTTTTTTTTTTTTTTTTTAATTCATCTGATCGAAGAGCCTAACAGACACCATCGTGGATGTGGTTTTTAATGATTTGGAAAAGACAGCCTGTGGAGACTGCGATTTGAGACAGCAACACATTTAGGTTATTGCCAATTTGAAATACTTGGTTTGTGAAGCACAGCCCTAAGGGACAAGCTCAGTAACTGAGAAAGAGATTGTAGATAAAGAAATAAAAATGACAAGCGTAATGGAGGCTCTGCAAAAGAGACTGTCAGAGAATCAGTTCATGGATGGCAATTTCACCAGTCTGAATCTGAATAATTCATAGATTGAAATTACCCTGCTTTCACCTTTCCATTTAAACCGGCATGATCTGAATCTCTAATAAATTTTCAAGATAAAGTAAAATGCCAATTTGAATCTGAAGAGCTTTTAAAACCAGATGCTACACCCTGAATCTTTCGATACCTTTCACAATTATCCTGTGAGAACTGCACTTCATCACGAAGCACCATTACCAGTGAAAATTACTGTGATTACAATAGCAACAATAGAATACCATCAAATGATCTCTAATTTACCTAATTTACCAAGGCTGACTGTGTGCCCATTGTGTTTCACTACGTCTGGCATGGGATCAATACCACAGTGGAACAAAAATGCCTTAGTGTGTGCTTCCTTTTGGTACCTTTAACTTTGACAGCACAGGAAAAAATCTATCTACTGTTAAATGTTTTTACAGCCAGTCTACATGCCTGCTGTAGGATCTGATTGATTCTCCATGATTTTCCTTAGTTCTTGGGTATTGGATGTCATTGTGTTACTAATTTGTTTATAACGTATAGTCATGCACAAAGACTGCAGCAAACGAATACCAGCAGAGAGACACTGCACTGCTGCTGCAGTAGCAGCGCTCTCGCAGGGGAAGCCAAAACGAGTTCGGTGCCTTATGTGAATAATTACTCGGGTCTGAGTTAGAAATGCTTTCTAGCATCACCGGTCTTGGTTGTACTACATGAAAAATGTATGCAAAAGCCATGGTCAAGAAAAACGATCGCGTGTAATACTAACAAGATTTTTTTTCCCCTATTCAGCAATTAGCATGTGGTTGTGAGAGACAGGCTGCGACTCCTTCTGTAGATGTGTGTATGTAGGTACGCATGCACATACATAAATGTAAAGATACTGTGCTTTGTGAATACGTGCCGATCACTGAAAGTAACAACTTTTTCTGACAAGCCAGGCACAGTGTTTTGCCACAATCTGCTCGGTTGTAACAAATCCCTGTTTGGAGGTGTAAATTTCCTATAAGATGATGTATGACTTCTGGAATAGTAAGTACCATTTATGCAATATGTTGGTGCCTATAGCTATGCTACAGAATAGTATTTTAAGCGTAGTTTGAATCCTTGTGGCATAACTACAATTTGGAGAAGTGAGAAACATGTACAGAAGGCTAGAAACAGGCATTCTTCATGGAGACGACTGTATCTGCTGTCTGTATGTGTGTGAGTTGTACACTTCAGGCTTGTTTTCCGTTTTATAACCAGATTTACTCTGCCTTCAGGAAATATTTTCTAAGGAAGGAAGGTAAGCAGTATTTCTTCTTATTTATATGACTGTGTTGTATTTCTCTGGGGGAAAATGCATGTTCACAGCACATAATTATATAATACAGAATGATCTCATGACATCTATTTAAGAGTTTCAGTATCTGTTCACGTTAAAACTGGACAAGAAAGCATATTTAAGAAATGGCTTCTTATTCAAAATACACTTGTAGAAATGCTACACAAAAAAAGAATTTAAAGATTGGGTTTGTATTCAGCTTTGACTCTTCAATGTTATTAAATAAGAGCTTATGTTACCTAAATAATAATGTTCTTGAAACCTTTGGATTTTAGATATTTTGTCTTAAAACACAATTTACTGTACGTCTAAATTTCCTGTATAAGAGTGGAGACTGTTCTCTAGAGGTAGAAGAGGCAAAAGGTTTTACAGCTTGAGCTGTGATAACAAAGGAATTTGAAAGGGCGCAAAATAAGATTATACAAAAATCTTGAATTTTAAATTATTCAGTAATGTGATTTAGCAAACTGTTTTTCTTAGACAACATACTCTCAAGTTACTACACTATCTGGAATTAATTACCCCATTCAGTGCTATATTTATGTTCTTCATTTTCACATAGTATTCAAAACTTAACAAAGAAAAATCCTTGTGCAGAGCAAAGACTGAAACTCTGGTGAAAGTGTAAAACCCACATTATGTTACTGTGGTAATAAAATCAAGAGATTCAGACCAAACTTTGCTGAAGAGAACTAGGTGTTTTGGTTTAACTGCTTTATGATGAGGTTTTTTATGGTTTTGTGTACACAAACATAACATATACTGATGTAACTACTATACTGCAAGGATCATGCAAATAGGAATGTGAATGTTTTGCAAAATACCATCTAGATACCTGCTAGTACTTACATTATTATTATTATTATTACTACCACAATCTTCTAGTATCATATACTGTTTTGAAATCACTTTCTGTTAACCACTTTGATTCTACAGAGTATTTGCAATCAGAATTTTTTTATGAGTCTTATCTGCTGTGATAGTCTGTAGAGAGTAGCTGGTCATGGGGTGCTAGATGTCCTCACTAGCAAGAGCAGAGCAGATCTAACTTAGAGTTTGCATGCCCTTGATTGCTTCATTTAAGGGCCTGATCCAAATTGTTCTGCAAGATCCACGCTGGCCTCCTCTAACTTACTTTGTGTTTGCATCACGGAATTTTTAATGTGCCACCTATTTTCTTCCAGTGCCCCATACTAGCCCCACGTTTCAAAATATGGAATGCTGGTCAGGCCTAATGCTGTTTCTCAGTGTAAGTCACTGCAGTAGTTGCCAGAGGATGTTATGACAGTGCCCTCAGGAGGTGAGGTTGTCTGTGAGACTGTTACAAAGTACTCTGAAAAAGTTTGAAAACCTCAGGAAGTAAACTCTGCCTTTTGGGCTGGTGTGTGTTTCAAAGTCGGCAGGATTGCAGCCTGCCAGCAGGATAGATGGCACATGCAAAGGGAAAAAAAAAAAAGCATTAAAACCTTTTCAGCCACAGGATCATAAGGGGAATATTAGCAGTATTACTCATAAAAAGCATTAAAATATTGTTAACTGTATCATCCATGTATTTTCTGTTATGGCTATAGCTAATCAGGTGCAGCTACAGCTGAAGTGTTTAAGACATGTAACTGTATGTGCTGAAATAAATGGCATATGGTGCAACGTTAAACTTCTAACATAAAGCACTAATTTTAGCAACAGCGGTTCAACAGTTAATCTACGTTATATCACAAGATGTATTAGTTCAGTTTTGCGTTTATGTTTTTCACTGTGTTACACTTGTCTATAAATGAATCTGTAATGGCAAAGTAAGGGCCAAAACACTTCCTTATATGAGTTCCCAATTAAATGTAAATACTCACTTGAGTAAAATTCCATCTATGCATTTGGTGGACCCATGCCCTCATCTGCAGCTAGACAGTGATCATGATGCACATGTGAAAAACTGGAGCCCATTCTACTACCACTGAATTTAACAGCAAGACTCCCTGTGCCATCAACATAAAAGATAGATTACTTAATTTCCTTCCATTGCAGTCTTCCTATGAAAGTTGTTGCTGGGTTGTTTTTTTTTTTTCTTGTTTTCAAGAGTCTAGTATAGTTGACACAATGCTGAACAGAAGATGCTTTTTGTTCACCAGGACACGTGACCTGAACTAAACACACTGAAACCAGCAACTCAGGATAGGTTTGTTTGCAAACTGAAGGGACCTTCCTGCCTGTAGTTTTGTTGATAATATTTCTGCTCACTCACTTGTCAAGTCTGCATTCTTATCAGCTGCTATAAAACACACAAGTTCTGATCTGTAATGGTTGTATCTATTTGGACAAGAGCCCTGAGGACAGGAGGATCCTGTTGTGGGTTTGGGGTTTTTTTTCACCTTGCAGTTGCTTTGAATTATTTGTAACTGACTATGGAAATATGATCCCCTAAGAATGTAGATAAATGCATTATTGATAGGTATGTATAAAGTATCTCTATATTCCTCTGCACTCTGGCTGCTATGAATTTCACACCATTATTCCCAGACAAAAATGTTAGGAGGAAAGTAAGGCTGAAGTAACTTGAAAGAATAACAGCAGCGTTTCCAAACCAACCATTCTGATGCAGGAAATTCAGAATTAAACAGAAGAAAATCCAAATAGCTTCATAGATACAATTAAAATACCTAATCAGCTTGCTCCCTTTTTGATGCCATGTGATAACTGTAGGATGTGATAGAAGTAAACAATTTTGCCATTTCAGTTTATATGATATCATTTATATCATATCATTTAGATATGATCAAAAACCACCTTTGACTTCAAAGTATTTGCATCATGTTTCACAGTATCAGTTCAGTTTCTCTATGGACTATAAACATGCTCCTGCTTTGTGCTTTTAGCTATATAACTGTAATTTAACCAAAAGTGCTGAAAATTGAATGATTCCTGATCAGCCGAAAGGGGGAAATGAATTCCTAAGTGGGAACTGCAGTGGAGTCAACAGATTTCCCAGGTCTCATGCCAACAAGATTTTCTTGTGGGTTTTCTAGATCATGTTAAACTCCTCATTGTGTTAGAATTTGTCCCAAAGAACACGAAGTTAAAAATGAGCAGAAATTCAAAATATAGCCATATTTGTCCCTGAGAATTTGTGCTTTTTTTTTCTACTTTTGATACTATTCCTGCCACAGGTCTTGTCTCAAGGTTTACCAGGGAATTGTATCCAAAAGTATATTTGCAACAATATTGCTCATTTGTAGCTAGTCATGCATAACCACAATCAATTAGTACCTATGAAAAATGCTAAACTGGGAAATGCTGTTAGAAAGAAAAAAAAAAAAAGTACAGATTGTAGGATTGTCATTGTACTGTTCACTTATACTCAGTATTTTGCAGAGATTGTGCAGAAATGAATGTACATTTAAATTATATGCAGTTATACTCAGTGAAAAGTTCAATAGAAAAGACTTTTCTCATACTCACCCATTTCTATTTCTTCTGTTTCCTACACTCATTAAAAAACTGTCTCCAGTGGTGCAACAGCCACAGCAACTGGCCACCCCTCTGACCTGCAGGTAGTAAGCGATGGTAAGAAGCTTCACTGAGATGGGAAATGGACGAGATCCCACATCCTCTGCTCCTAAAGGCAACGTCCTTGTTGGTGGGGCTACAGCAGAGGGAGGTATGCAGAGGGGTGCATTGAGGATGCACCATCCATTGAGGATCCCATCCCTGAGGATGGGATATTAGCTATGTGCTACGTACTTCTGAATCCTATACTAAAGCTAAAGTGGAAAAATGTCATTAAGTAATTAAAGAGGAGTAAGAACATCTTTAGTTTCTATGTTTTCACAGGCAGATCTTCTGTAAACTTGTCATGTTTATACCTAACATGAGCATCATGTATCAAAACTCCAAGCCACCCAGAAAATTTAACTTGTCAATCAACATTGCAAGTGAGGAAAAAGTTTCCATAACCCAATACACTACAATAATGTTTACTCACATACATAGGCACAGTCCCAGCATTACTCTTCAAAAACAGCTTAAAGGCCTTTTTATCTTCATGTTAATGAAACTACCTATGCCACTGCACCCGTAATATCTATAAATTGACCACATATTTCATATTAGTTTAAGCAGCTATATCCCATTTAAATTGGCATTTTTGGTAATGGCATTTTAGCCTCTCCTTTGAGTGATATAGCATGGCCTGTATTATGCATAGAATTAGCATGGATTATTGCAATTCCTTTTCTAGAAAGGAATTATTTTCTTCAAAGCTCGTCTGTATTAAACTTACCACCTACCTTTTCATGAGGGGCTGATGGGCTTGATCTGGTTATGAATTGCTTACAGTGTCTGCTCCTTCAGTATCTTGTGTTTGTTTTATTATATTTAGGAGTCTGAGTGCATCCTTTCCTCTGCCACAGAACTTGATGCTAGGCAATGACTTAAACCAAACTTTTTAATAATATGCACTTCATCTTCCAAATGCCAGACAGTCATGTGTGACTTGCTGAACTGCTGAGCTCTCGCATCAGTATTTGGAGTCCATGGGAGTATACGTAGGATGGATTCCTCTGTAAATGAATAAAAAAATATAACTTTCTGGTGCTCCAATTTAGACAACACTGGTGACCTTAATCTCCACGTCTTTATTAAACAAGTCTCTCTAAACACAATTCTTTCACCTGATAGGGTACTTATATATTTAATTAACAAATGTGACTCAGATAATGAATAGGTAAGTGTTAGGGGAAAACCCTGCTAGAAATTAGTGCTCCCATCATCAGTGCTGTGTGTGGCAAATTAGGAGCAGACTCTTCAGGAAATGGGGACAAAAAGACTGAATTGCTGCTCATGGAGAGTTTATCTTGAGCACAGAGTAAGTGTTGGACCCCATGCTGTTGGTTCTTCTGCTCATCTCAGCATCTGCCCATTTTGTAAAGCAACTTTCTTGTCACGATCTCTCTGCTCACTCAAGCCACCTATCCCTCGGCTTCCAACTCCTTCCTAACAGCTCTGCATTAATACCACTTCCCACTGTAGGTCCCAGTCTTGGCTAGTCAATACTAATCCTCTCCAAATAGACTTTTTTTTTTTTTTTTTTTTTTTTTTTTTTTTTTTTTTTTTTTTTTCTTGCTGTCCTACTTTACACTCCCCTTCCTGCCCTCCAGTTGAGCTTTTGTTTCCAGTTGCTTGGCATCAGCCTGGTTCTTTATTGTTCCAGTCTGGTCTTCAAAGTCTAGGCAGCTCCACGCACCCAAATGTGGGTGGATTTTCACAGAGAGAGCAATAGGCACATCTCCCAGGGAGAATGCGTCCTTCATTGTTCTCCATCTCTACTGAGTTCTTCAAGGCACATAGGCACAAGAACATTTCCCATATTTTTAAACAGGGGTAAGGCCAAGAGCTTACAAACAATGGGATAAACCCAATAATCAATAAAAACAACAATAGAAACAAGGAGGGAAAGAAATTTCCTGATGAAAATGCCCTGTGTGGAAAATACCAGCTGAGTGGTTAAAATCTGACAGGATTGTAAGCATCAGAGAACAAGGTCATGAAATGAAAAGTTCTGAGAAGCTTTACCAGAATTACCTGCATATACTTCCTATGCCTATGCCACAGATTTGTATGTGTTTACCTTCATGTAACTGGGAAAACAATTTTTTTTTTTTTTTTTTTTTTTTTTTTTTTTTTAAGAGCAATAACAACATCCTAATACTGTATTTGGGAAATATATATACATAACTTGGGGGAATTTTGAGGAGGACCTGGGGGACCCAGAGACTCTTGACAGGTACATACTTCTGAACAGATAGTTTACCTTATTTGCAAATGAGTAGTCCACTTTCTTCAACAATTTCTGTGCATTCATAAAAATAGGCTGAAAAATATTTGCATTATTATATATTTAGTCACAATACCTATCAAGAAAAAACAATGTCACTGTGCAGAGCACTGTATGAAGGGAAAACAAAAGATCTACACTTTGGAGTTGATTTTTATCTGACAGAAGAACAGTCACTAACCATTCCAGAAAGCAATGTGCCGTTTTGAGATATTCAGAGAAGATCATTTTTAGAAAACAGAAAAAATAAAGCTGTAAACTGTAAGCTGAAAGATTCACATTATATATGCAACCCAGTTTTTGAACAACCTCATTAAAATTCTCTTATCTATTTTTATCAAAAATGCAAATATGCTTGTAGTGATGAATTGATAATTGCATTTAGAAGAAAGTTTATTTCTCCCCCCAGAAATATAACTGTGGTGTCAGACCCTGATTAGGTGTTAGAAAAATTAAAGACTTTAAAAATAATAATAATTAAAAAAATCAAACCAGTAACTCTTGGAGCATTCCTAACTTTACATGTAGCAGAATGTAATTTAATTTACATACAAGTCTTGAACAGACTCCCATCTGCCAGCACCATTTTTTAAAGTTCCTTGTGTTTTCTACAAAGATTGAAGAATTTATCAGGCCTGGGTTGGAGTGACTTCTAGAAATGAGGTAGCCAATATTATGTATATTGATCAGTGGTCACTTATATATGATGCAAAGCAACCTTTCATGCTCATGTAACAATATACCATGTGTACAAAGAAGTTTCTGAATTTTAATTTAAACAACTCACAGAAAGTTGCTAATTTCCATTACCCACAGAGAGAACATTGCATTTTTAAGAGACAGATTTCAAATAAGAAAATCTAGAAAATAATCTAATGTATATTGGAATATCGGAAGTAGAGAAACTTGTTGGTTTAGACAGACATACAATTTGCACCAGAAAAATTTGTGGATATTCCTATTATGTGTGTTTAGTTTTTTAAATTATTGTAGCTGTAAAGGTTGGCCTGGTTCTTTGTTTGTTTGTTGTTGTTGGTTTTCTTTTTAAAAAAAGGTGATTATGAAATGCATCAGGGCTGTGAGCTCATTAAAATTCCTTCACAATCCAGGTTTAGTCAATATTGTTGTATCTGCCTTAGGAAACTATTTAAATGAGTGATCTTAAACTGAAGTTAGATGAAGGAACATGGTGGATTTTGCACAATTAGGAATTCAGTTTTCAATGATGAAGGACAAATATCTAGTTATTTAGAAGCTCCTGTCACTGAGTTTCATAATACTATGATATAGTTACTCTTTCCCCCCATCTTTAAGGGTGTATTGCCATTTGCAAAGAATTTTCATGTAATATTCCTCCCTACTCCCAAATATGTTTATTCAGTTTTTTGACAATTAATCTATATAGACACTGCAGAAGCTATTGAAACTCTGTGTAACAGCTTCCCAAATATAACATTTTCCTGTTGGATTAAAATGTAGTCCACCTACTTCAAAAATCACCACATCCAAATGACAGACAGAAGGACCTGACAGAAATTCAGACTAGGCTGACATAAAGATCTATCAGGAGTCCTGGGTTATTGACTCTTCTTCGTTATATTTTTCATGATATTTCATTATATTTTCCACATTTGATGATGGCCACTTAGAGCCTTCCTACTAATTTAATTTTTTGAAGCTCAGTTTCCTAGTTAAATCATGAATCCTTTCAGTGTTGGAAAACTACTTGAAGCATAACTTTCGATCTTGCCCGTCCCTTTGTATCACAGCAGAGACATGAAAAGGTCTTAAGTAAAACCTGGAGATTATAAATTTAGATAAACTCTAACTATAGTAAAGGGAGTGGAGCATGGGGTGCAGGATTGAGGCATGAAGCAGAAGTTAGAAGGGATGGGACTAAAATCTGATCTTCTTCATTGCTTCTGAAGAATAATCCTTGGCAAGGTACTCTACCTACTATAACTGAAATCGTCTCTTTGAATCTCTGATGATCTTCTAGTTTCTGCTCACGACCTCTTCACCATCAGCAAAGGTGTAAAACTTCACCAAGAGACACCTTTGCTTTCATCTACCTGAGTTCTACTGAGCACTGATTGTACCAAATGTGTTAAATTTCTTCCCATATTGCAGCTTCATTTTCATTGTGCATAACCTTCAGAAACACACAATGACCTGGCATTCAGAGTAATTTTTCTTTGTTTTTCCTCCCTGGAAATTGTAGTTTCACTTTCAAAAGCTAAATCAAGAGCTATTAATTTACAAGAGTTAGTAAAACTTTACCGAGTCCCACCTGCTGACTGGGTGCTATTGGGATGGGCAGACTGAACTTCACAGAGGGGAAACACATTCCTCAGCAGTCCCTTGTCACTTGTTCAACAGGCAAGGCATGATGTCCTCCTAAGAGCTACATATGAGGAGAAATAACAATTCATTATCAGAAAAGCGTCCTTCTAAACCAGACCATAACACTGTTAAAAAACTTGTCTGTACTTTTTAACTTCTGCTTGGGGAGTAAAGGAAAAAAAGGTGAAAATTGGCAGCTGTTTCCTAAGTGTCATGGCTAGTGTCTGAGTGGCAACTTCAGACATAAAGAATTTGAAATTGTTTTCTTCATGATGTGAGCTCCTTTTATTCTTAAAAACTTACTGAGGTCTTCAGGCTTGCAGCTTCAGTTAGCTGTTAGTTGCAAAAGATACTGAATACAGTAACTAGTAACTATAAGTAAAAAGGTGCTAAAAAAGGAAGAAAGAAAAGCAGTTTCATTTTAAAAAGAACTAACGTGACTTAAAGTATGAATTAAAGTATGAAAATTGACTTTCAAATTTTTAACTATTTTGCATTATTTTTACTACATCTTTGCGTAACTTGATTTTGGTCAGCAACAAAACTGGGAAAATATAGAAATGGTTATGTTTTCCTGTTTATCTATATTTTTCCAATTTGCTTCTGTGGCCATTAGGACTATTGTATTTTTTCAGCAAATGGAGTGAGGCCTCTTACAGCCAGCCCACATAATGGTACTTCTCCTTGAGGAGCAAGGCGGGGAGGTTGTATGTGACCTTTTCCTCTACATGGTACAGCCAGAATTCTCCAGTTTCTGGTCAAGTACAGTTACCTATGTGATTTCTCATATACTGTTATGTTTTGACATATTTTCATAATACTTGATGAGCAAGTACCAACTATAAACTAATACCTATGCACACTGCAGTTGATAATACAGTTTCTTCCATAATAAATCTTTTGTAAGTGGGCTTACAGAGAATACAAATAATAAATGACTTATGATAAAAAATACATTTACAATTATATACTTATGTGTACACATACAAATAATAATTTTTAACAGTACTTTAAACTGTGCATATGCGATCACTTTGTTTTCAACAGAGTTCTGTCACTGTTTATGTCTTAACACTGATAGGGGAATACCTCTATTTTGCCTTTGCAATGTTTTGTGTTTCTTTCTGCTGCTTGGCTTTGCTGATGAGGGAACGTAGATTAGTTTTTAAATAGCTGTAATTCTTCAGATGGCATAATGGTATACCACAGACCTGAATTTCAACAGCCACTACAGTGTTGGGTGAACCATATTTATTATCTATTAATAGTGAGATGATTACAGGCATCAGAAGCTGCACAAGAAGACTCTAAGAACTGCTTTAATGTTGGGTCTCTAGGCTAAACTCCTGACTGCAGCCTCAGCAAATTCCTTCTGTGTTTGTGGAAATTAGTTTCATAACATTTTCCTTATTTTCTTTGGACACCCTTCCTTAATTTCAAGTTATTCTTCTAACTCAAATATGTTTGGTTTATGTTTGCTTCTTTCTATTTGATATTCAGATTCCATCTTACCATGGTGATCATCAGGCTTTTTCTTTGTCCTAACACTGTTTTATACTAGTAGCAAATGCTCATCTGAGGAACTCAGGAGACAAATTTGGCTAGGTTGGTATAAACAAATAGGCAGACATTATTTTCCAGCTGTCTCCCATTGCTGTCCACACATGCTGATAAAACTGTTGTCTAGAACTTTAAAGACTCAAAGAAGACAAAATAAAAGTAGTAAAAAGATACCCTATAAAACCCAAGAAAATCAGCATGTGACAAATTGCATCTTTCCATTAAAAAGAATTAGCTTCCAACCACTGAAGTATCTACAATGTGATACCTATTTATCAAGTTAAATTGTTTTCTTATTGCAAAGCACAAACTTAATTACAGAGATCATTTACATATGGATGGCATTTGCTTAAGCAATATTTCTAACACCGTATGCATAAATATGATTTAATTTCTATTTTTTTTTTAACCCCATGCTTTCAGAAAATAGGCAAACTTAATGCCAGAAACAATCTCCTGGATGATCAAAATGCAGTCCTTTACTTATCCAGGGAACCATGTCTGTAGCATTTTCCACAAACTTCACAATCTTCATCATTAAATAGCTTGAATCGTTATGATTTTGTCCCCGCCATTTTTATTAAAAAACTACTCTAGAACCTAACCATTTTTAGGGTCAGAAACCATCTAATTTCCAGCTTAAATTTGTTCATGGCCAAATTGCACTCACTTGTTCTTGTGTCAACATTGTCTGCTAGAGTAAATAATTCTTTTCCTTGCCTACTGTTTACCACTCTATTGTGTTTTTAGAGGATAATTATTTCCTGTATCAGGTTTTGTTTCTGCTAGACTAAACAAGCAAAAATTTTGTAGCCTTGCTCTTAAAATGACTTGTCTCTGGTAATCTCTGCAGCTCTTTTCTTTACCTGTTTCTTCTTCCATGAACATGATGAAAAAAATCTGTGTGAGATCTCACAGGTGCCTTAAGCAATAGCACATTTATTTTCCTTTTCCCTGTTAAGAAATAGTTAAACTGGTTCATTCTCAGATGGCATTTGCTTTTCCATAGTTGTATCCCACTGCCAACTTATAATAACCTTGCAGTCAGCTAATATGCATATGTAGATCCACCTCCTATGATGTTTACAACTGACATGCTCCTAGTTTACAGCAGATTTTTTTGTTAATCCTCAAATGCATGTCTCCTCTGCCAACACTACATGTTTAAGAGTGAATTTAGCAGTGTGTATTTTTAATGTGTTTTTTCCAAGGGTAACACATGCTTTGGATAAATTGATGGCAAAGATAACAGAAAAGTTAAAAGGAATAATATTGGGAGACAAAGGGAGGTACACAGCACACTGACAGCACCGGGCGCAATATATTAAGGAATAAATTTTCACAAGTGCTCCAGTGTAATATGATAGAACATAAAGGTTTGGGTGTGGTATGGTGTCTGCAGTACCTTAGGAAATTCCGTTTTGGTCCTGTCTACTCACAGCTGCTTGAGTATTGCATTTTAATTGGGGAAAAGATTTCTTGGATGCATTAGAGCAGGAGCTCCCAGATCCTTTCAAGGTGGCATAAAAGGAGCATGGGGGGACGTGCTGAGAAGAAGCTGGGGAAAAGTTTTCTGGGTTGCATTTGCTGCCCAAGCAGCCAAATGTTTTTTCTGGTGTGTATCTGGAGCTCTGCACGCAGCTGGCAGCTACCGTGTCTACCACAGTAACAGAGAAGAAAACAATGGTGTAATCTAAAGCAAATTATTTTGGACAATCTCTGTATTAGAGTGCTCTGTATTGCTATTATTATTCACAGGCCACTCCATAGAAATCACACCACTGTAGACCTGTCTTTTTACTTGGTTTTGCTTATTTTTTAAAGTTTGCATAACAATTAAAGACTTGAGACTTTACAGAGTCCGTATCTTTGAAGCAGCGGGGCAATATTTTCTTTACATGAGCATTTCAAAATAACTAGCATTATTACATCAATACTTGTAGAGCTGTTCACAGTAAAAAAGCTTTGATGCTACCTGGTTGTGAAGGTTACATTTTAAGCACCATACATTTTGGAATGAAGAATACATAACTCTTAGGTTTTAAAAGACATTGACATTTTCAGAAGCATGTTAATCATTTTGGACTGAAAGTTCAACTAGCTAGGAATTTGGAAACTTTCAATCCTTAAGAAAAGGATTGAAATTTCTTTATTTTGCCATGGAAGCCAGCAATTTATAAAACACCTTTACTTGTGTAGAGAGCAGAAGACTAGTGTATTCCCACACATGCTAGCAAGAGCTTCACCATTTATTAGAAAGATGAACTAGGTTTTTGAGGGATTTTTTTAGAGGAAGAGAGATTATTTGAAAATCATATGATAGATTTTAAAAATACATATTTTGCATAAGAGCATTGGGATGAGAAAATTTATTCAAAAGAGTTATCTGCTAGGGCATGCAGCTTTACAAAATTATTGAGAAATAGTTTTTCAGTTCAAAATTTGACAGGAATCTGCTTATTGGGAGGGGAATCTGCAGCTATTCAGGATTATTTTATTAAGTTATTAGAAGGTAGTTTTACTTAATGTGCCCTCCTTGACTATTGCTATATAATACCTTCTTTGATGTTGAAGAGAACATATTAACTTATTAGTTATGTTTAATATGTTGTATTCTGTTTAGGGCATCCACGTGGAGCTGATAGCTGTGGACTAATGACTGCTGTACTAAGCAGGTAAGCTTTGAATATCTTTCAGTGGTAACATAATGGCTTTCACCAAAGGAGGAAGAAGTCAATATTTTTTATTTTAAGATGAGTTTGGAAGGCTTTGATTTTATAAATCCCAAGATCTGCAACTTAAGTAAACCTAGCATATGCAAATAGTGGCTTCAAAAAGTAAATGAATTGGTATTTCTGTCAAAGAGTTTATTTCTCTTGACCCATAATTCACTATCTTTTCAGAAATATTTGAGACATGTTCAGACATCAGAAACTCACAGGCCTCCACTGCAGCAGGGTGCAACCAAATGATCATTTTGACTTGACAAGATTAATTTCAAAGCAGTTCTTTCTCCTAACTCACCTCTTTCTTTTTTGCTAGTTCTAGTTAGTAAATGTCTTTGTCAAACTGGAACAAAGCTTTGTCATTAGTCTCTTCTCTTTAGACAACATAGACTTGTTGTGTTGTTAAAGGAAAAGGATTTGCAAAGTACCTTACAAAGAGAAACATATCACAGAAAGTAAAACATGTAGTGCATAGTAATACTATCCTACTGATTTTAATCTGGTAGAGGTGTTAGGCTAATTAAGAAAGAATTAAACTACACATGGTGGATACCAGTCACATTGCTTAATATATTGCTGGAGGACACAGAGAACCACAAGGGTGATGAAAGCATTGCAAGAGCATATATAGAAGAGACATGAAATACAATCCCTGCATGCAAGTATAGTGGGGTTTGCAGGTAAACATGGTATACTGGTTTGACAAGATGTTCTTTTACACAGTATAATTTTGCCATTAATAAAGATCTTATATAGAAAATACCTGTTATTTAAAATAGTTGGGGGGGAGGTCAGTGAAGGGCAAGGGATCATCCTTCAGCAGTTATTTATATGGGAAATGTTTTCATTATTCTCTTAATATAAAATAATGATTTTTCCTTTTGTGCAGTACCTTCTGGTGCCATTTAAAAATTAAAATCAATAGTATTTTTCCAAGCTAAGAAAATTTATGTTTCTATGAGAAGCTGGCCTTATCAATAAGTTAATGTAAAATACTGTTTGGCATCTCCATGAAGAAGCATTCAGAAAATACTTTGTATGTAAAATGGAGAGAAATTTTTTTCTCAGTTATTTTCTCTCCATTTGTTGCATTGGGTTCCTTTCCATTAGATTTCTTGGAGCTCTGACTCAGGGTGAAATAGGTATGTTGTTTCCTAAAATAAGATTTATTAGTATGGAGACACAGAGAAAAAAGTTGTGTTTAGGCATACAAATTTTTGGTCGTCTCTGCCATATATTTAAACTGTTTTCTTTATACACTCAAGTCACATACATCTGTTAGACCACCTAATTAGATACCTCAGTACTGTAACACTGGTGAGATTAATCTAAAAGAAGAGGGTTAAGGTGTATGTACAGCAGAAGGATATTGTAAGTTTCAATTTCCCTTTGTAAGGAGCTCCATTTTGATTCAAGAGCAAAAGTGGAAAAAAAAATTCACTCTGGGAATTAGGGGCTGTGGGATGCTGCTGTACCACTCAGGCTAACACAGGCAGGGGGCAGCTGGAAGGACAGTCCCCAGCGCCTTGCTTCAGCACTGGCTTCTGCTTCCCCTTTAGTCTGAAATGGGAGTCGTTTACAATAACAGAGTCTACAATATAAGGCTTTTGGCAATTTGTTTCTGCTTCAAAGTAGTTTAATGCTTAGTGCAACTCTATAGCTGGTGAGGATTTTCCTGTCTTTCAAGTAACTCCTTAAAATCAGGTGTTTCAGGGCATATCTTAACTTGTGTAGATGACTAGTGTTGTATGTGATTTAGTGGTTGACTTGTGGATTAAGAGAAGGCAGTATGTGTATTGTGCACAGTACATGTACGTGACTATTGAAATGAACAGCGGGTCACAAATACGCTCCTAAAACCACTACCCACACATTTTGAGCTTCTTCACACAAAGAACTACCAATAGGCAGGGCAGGTTTAGGAGGATGTTTGGGATCTTATTGCAGCAAGTAATCCCAGGTGGAGCTGGGAAGTGAAGGAAACTGTACCAACTGGAGCCAAACAGCAGTGATGCAGGAGCGATGAGGAGATGCTGCAGCTCATGAAGGTTTATAATATCATAGGTTAATGTAATTATTAAAGAAACAGGAAATAAATAATCAGTTCTTCCCTTAGAAGCACTTTATATAAGTATATGAGACATCTGCAAAATGGTGGAGTTGAAAGGGAGATAAGGCTGTTCATGCTCTGCGCTTGAGTTGGATGTGGGTTACTCCCTCTCAGGTGTGTGGTCTAAGCTTCAGGTGATGGGAGTGGTTCCATGGTTTTTGAAGTTTTTCTTCTTTTTTCATCTTCCTCCTGGCATATCACTCTGCTTTCTCATGAACAGTGTCACTAGTAGCGCATTAACAAGATGTCTCAGCAGGGCTGTTTTCATTTTGTTACCACAGTATGTACTTACCCTGGGTCACTATGCTTGCTTTTGCATTACATGTTTTCCTCTCTGAGCTTCAGCTGAACTTTCAAAAACAAGAGAGACGAAAAAACTTACCCTTACAAATCACTTGCAAGTTCACCTCCAAATTGGAAGCTGCTCTTTCTTTTATTCCAATCCTGTGACTTTATTTTCAGCTCTGTTGAGCCTTTGCAGGCTTTGTGTCACTTCCAGAGTCCTGGAAAGTAGATTACTATAAGTAAGAATAGACTCTTAGCAGCTTTCAGTGTGAGTATCCAAGTTAAAAGTCCTTTTAACAAATTTAATCAGTTTAATTAAGAAAAAAAGAATCTTCCAAACCCTTCTGCCTTTAGTAACAGCTCATAAAAAGAGGTTCTCAAACAAAAATAAAATAGCAAATCCACTTATCATTTAAAAGTATAAAATGTTAACAGAAAAGATACTTGTTAAGTAATATGTGTAAGTGTTATACACATGAATGTTGAATATATATTCCCTTAAAAACACCTAGTAAGGAAATAAAATATCCATTTGCATTTCATTCTTGCACATAGGTTTATTAAGATAATATATGTATCTTTTTGTATGCTGAGCCATTGCTTTGCCTCTGTCTCAGCCTGTCCAAGGTGCATGAATATTGACTGTTTAATGTACACCCCACGGTGTATTATTGCTTACTTAAAGCATAATACTGCATGACCTTGTTTTTTCTGTTAATTATATTTTTCCCTTGTAGGAAAGTAAGTTTACTCATTCTGAATCGTGCCAAACCGCATAATCTGGAAAGGAATATTGTGGCTCTACTTGGAAAGTACTAATTGGGCTTCAGCCATCACTGGGAAAGCTGTATAGTCTTTTATTATTTTAACTGGCCAAATGCCCTTTGTTACCACATTAACAGTCTCCCTATGGTGCCTGTAACTTTGATATTATTTTCACTTTTTACGCTAAATTTGACCAGATGAAAGACATAAACCCTCCAATTTTGAAATAAAAAAATAGCATGTTTTGTTAATTGTGTATTTCAGAGGGAAAGCCTGTGAAAATGATAACCTATGTCTGATGGCCAAGGTTTTTGTTCAGTAAACCCACCCTGCCAGCTGTTCTCATTGGCAAGAGAAAAGATAATATTTTGGTATCTTTAATTTCTCCATTTCAGAGCAGAAGTTTTGCTTGTGTCATCATTTAAATCATGCATGTTAACATCAGCTTGGCAAACAATACTGCATTTTATAAAGACCTCAGTTTGGATGGTATCACTGCAATGTTGCAATAAAGCTGCTTTAGACTATTAAAATACAACTTAGGTCACACGCTACGAACTATTGCAGGTGCTCTGGACTGAGCCACTGAAGAACTGCTTTGAAAGTCCTAAAGACGTTGAAGCAGATACGTAAGTATATTTTAGTCTGATGTCACTAGAACTAAAGACAGAAAATACCTCAAAAGATTGGGCTCTCACTCACATGCCTTTGGTCCTCATCTTGTGAGGCAGACCAAAGATCAGCAAATGGTAACTTAAGTCCAGCAAATGAGGAGAGATGGCCTCTGGCAGGAGACAGGAACACCTGTATTTCTAAGAGACAAAAAGCAGTCACCCAAAGCTCTAGGCTTAGCCAGATACACCTCCCGCACAGAGAATATACAATTCAAAATGTGTACAAGGAACGTTCTCTCTCCCGCTCGATCTTTGACTGCAAGCTTTAATTTCTGCTGAAACAGAAAGGGCGCTCTCATCATGTTTAAGAACATTTAAGAATGTCTTTCTCAATTTCCAGGTAACCTGAAGCCTGAGTGGTTACAGGCATATTGGATCCTACACCTTGGCAGAGGATTATTTCTGCATATGTTCCAGGACAGCTCAGCACTAAAGACTTACATGGAAAAAAAAAAAATTTCTTGATTCTGCAACAATTTGTTTGGATCCCTTGAAGGTTTCAAGGATTTCTTAAAGTCCTCAAGAGGCAAGACAAGCAAATTGATCAGGGTAAAGCTAGTTTTCAAGTCTTTGCTTGTCTAGACATAAAGCCTCTTTCACTAAAATGGAGCATGGGGGAAGACAAGGAAGTCTGTTAAAACAAGAATTTCATTCATTTGTGCATTACCGTAATTATACTACTATCTTAAATGCTCTGAGGTTGATGGTACTTGTGATCTTCCCAGTACGTTTCATAAGGGGGACAGTATAACCTTGCAATGCCCCAAAACAGATCTGAGCCCTTCCATCTGTTAAAGCTGTCTTAGGCAATTCAGTGAACACCATAATGGCTTCTTTATAGTTCTCTAACTTATACTTGATAATGTAGCACACATTCCAAGGAAAATGGGGATAGTCCCTGCATTTTGCCTACTTACTGTTGTTGTAACAGCTTGATGTAAAAGCTGATAACAAAATAGATGGTGCATTTTGTTAGCTGGACCCAGACCAGCAAACACACTAATGATATTGTAATTATACCAGGGATACAAGTTTGCTCTTAAATACATTTCACCTGGCATCTCCAATATGTAAGTTTTTTAAAAAAAAAAAAAAAAGTATTTTTTT